TGAATGGTTTTTCGAATGGTAAAAGAAAGATGACCATTTTTCATCTCAATTGTGAATACTTTTCTTGAACATCATCTATTGAACAAAGCTCATGATCTTGTATAAAAGATTACATATCTTCAAGACATATCTCTTTCACCTCTGGTAATGGCTTACCCTTTTTTTTTTGTGCTCAAATCACCTCCTCATATTAATGTGGATGAGTTCTCAAAATTAAATCTCATAATTATTGTTATCATTGTCTAAATATTCATCATCTGAAATTTAAGAATGGAAGTATAAAGTTATGAAAGGTAACAGGGCATAGAATAATGGTCAAGTGAAAGAGAAAAATGTAATGAAATGCATTAACTTGCCTTCATTAAGATGATAACAAGTAAAATCATATTACAAAAAAGAAATCCTAACATTACTTTAAAAGAACTCTTAGAATGACAAGTGGCATTCAACCAGTTTTAACATCCTCTTTAAAATCATGCCCTTGGACAACCAAGTGAAGGATTTTTATCTCGCCCCATTGATTCATTATGACTTTTCATATTCTTGATCCTCAAATAAAATGATTGAGCTTTTCCTACCGAGTTCTAAAGATATAGGCTTGACCGTTTGAGCGACTGCTTCCATTATCATGCTCCCTGTTGTATTGCTTCTGGTAAAGGCAATCTTGTTAACATTGGGATGATATGCCAAAGGAATCACAACTTTCAAGCCCAATCTAGTCAGAATATTCAAGACATCTGGAGGAAAACCAACCTTCTTACATACTTTAGCCAGCTCCAAATAGGTGATAGATACCAACTTGAAAGGTTTTAGTATTACAGCATAATCTTTTACTTAGCATCTAAACCTTCAATAAGGTACGTATAGTACTCAAAACATCCATCAACATCATCAACGTCATTCATCAAGTGGTTTCCTGTAATCAATTGCTCAAACTTTGCTAATTCAGATTTTCTCTCTGTTATTTTAGAAACGATGGCCCGTAAATACTTGGCATGAATAGCGCCAAAGGCTGAAGCCCAATCTTTGCCTTTGTTTTTAGAAAGAGCTCTCTGAGCAGTAACCACCACAAGCTCTACATCTTCAGCTGTAGCTGCAGGAATATGATCGATGTTCTGTTCAATTGTAGGATAGATAATTAAAATTCACTTTTTGAGAATAGGCTCTCTCCATTCACTGTCGATGAATAACATTCGACTCAAAATTTGGACCACCATATTAAATCAATTTGCCCCTTTTTTTTTTGGTTCACTCTCATCCTCAAACCAGTGTCTAAGAAGCTTTTTTTTCCTATGATATTTTTTTAATATCTGTACTCGTGTTTTTCTATTGCTCTTCTTTGATCAAAACTTACCATTTTATCCTTGATTAACCGTTGCACTTCATGTTTTAGAGTAGTGTAATTTTTAGTGCAATGGCCAACAATTCTATAGTGGTAGTCACAGTGAACCGTAGGATCATACCACTTAAGATAAGGTAGTTTGAGCGGGTCCATATGGCTTGAGGGCAATCAGGTGGCTATTATAGAGCTCTCAGTATAACTTCATATAAGTCATGAGGATTTGATCAAATACAAGTTTTTCTCAAATAGTCTATTGCTCTCGTGAACCACTTTCCAGGCTAATAGGATGAATTTAAGATCTTGCAAGAGTTTGACTGTTAAGGCTGTATATGGGAACTTGAGGGATAAAAATGGGCTGGTATATGGATGAATTAGGTGGTTGTGAGGGCTAGTTGGTATGGATAAGATGAAGCATTGTTCACAGTAGGATAGTATGAAGAGTAATTTGAGGGTAGATAAGGTTGATATCCCTTGAACTATCTGTCAAAGCCTACAGCTTGAGCTTTAGTCTCTTTCTTCTTGGGTGTCTTCTTGGTTTTTTCTCCTTTTAGCTTGCCATTCTCAATGATTTCGCCTGAGATCACCATGTCAACAAAATTTTTTGTGGCATTCCCTATCATCTCTTCATAATAGAGGGATTTCAAAGTACTGACAAATAATATGATGATCTTCTTTTCAGTCAAATGAGGTTGCACTTGAGAAGCAATATTCCTCCACCATTGGGCATATTTTTTGAATGATTCAGTTACTTTCTTATTCATATTCTGTAAAAAAAGATGATCAAGGGCCAAGTCTATTATATGCTGGTATCGACTAATGAAAGTATAAGCCATATCGCTCCAAGAACCAACACGATTCCTGTCCAACTGGACATACCACCTAGCAGTAGAGCCAGTGAGGTTGTCTTAGAATGCATGCATCAAGAGCTTTTCATTATTGGTATGGACAATCATTTTTTGACAATACATAGTAATGTGAATTTTTGGATACTTTGTACCATCGTATTTCTCAAACTTCAGCACCTTGAATTTTGGAAGAATAACCACATCAGAAACTAAACAGGGCCCAGCAGCATCAACTGAGCTATAAAAACTAACTCCCTCCACTGCTCGTAGCGTTTTCTCTAACATGTTCATCTTCTGTTCAACTTTTGAGGCTTCTAAAGTCCCCTTTTCCTTAGACCTTAACTTTTTTTCTAGATCATCCAAATTAGAGACTGACATTGGTTCTACTACCTTTTCAGTAAAGACAAGAATTGTCCTTGATTTGAAGTTGATGACATTCTGAGATATGTGTACCCTACAGGATAGGTGAACCGCTGTGGTGGTAGACATTATGCAGATTAAGCTTGATGTGGCTTGAAACCAAGAGGGCACAATGGGTCATCCTCCTCCTATTAGCTAGCATTCTCCTCTATTGCCTTCCCCTTGGTTAGCTTGTTTAAAGCCTCTAATATCTCATTCAACTCTTCTCTAACTTTTCTTGAGCTTTCTCTAATCTCTCGAAACGATTGGAATTTTCTTGTTCCATTTGCCTGGCTCGAGCTCTTGTGTTGTATTAGTGAGTGAAATTGCTTGGTGGGGCTATCCTTGAACCTCTAGCACCATAATTATGATTAAAAATGTTATGCTATACTTATGTATGATGCTTTGATGCACGAATGAAATGTACATTTTTCTGAATGAAATCTAATATGAAATGGATGCAAATGATTGTGTTAAAATATGATCATGAAAGTAATGCAGATGTATACAATCAGACAAACAACATAGTTAGTTTCATGGATGAAATGAAAGTGATGCTAATGCATAATGTTACATATGATAATGATGCACAAAGTTAAACAATCAAAATGATTAGATAAACACCCTTTTCGTGTCTTAATTTCAGGGTATATCTATCATTGGGTAGAAATGGCTCTATCCTAGGTTTAGGCACTCTTAAGGTTCACTATATGCGGTTTTAAGGTCAAAGTCTAAATGTCCTCAAATTGTTCCTTACATCCTTGTCCATCACAGACTAGTAAGGCACCCTAATCTTCACCCATTACAGGCTACAAGTGAAAAAGGTTCAATTTGAGTGGGAGTATTTCGCTAGCCACTGCGGAGGCATTAGACCTCACGAAAGCAATAGGTACTTTACTTCCTCCTAGAGGGACGGAGCTCGGGTGTAGAGCTCATGTTATGCACATGCATATGAATGACATAATTAACAAAGTAAATAAACATGAACGAATAATAATACATATATACAAAAGGGTTTAATTTTATTAGGCTTTTGGATAACATAAATTATTTGCTAGCCTGACTCTCAAAGTCCCCAATGGAGTCGTCAAGCTGTAATAACGTCTAGATCCGAGGATCTATCGCTAGACATTGACTTAAGGGAGTCACCACCAATCTTTTTTATCTAGGTGCGATTGGCCACCTAAGGAATCTGTCCTTTCAGGGAACACCTAAATTTAAGGGTCCATAAAAGAATAGGTTCAGGTCTACTAACCAGAACAGGGTTCGGGAGTTCGGTTACGTATGAGGAAGGTTATAGCACCCTCACAACGCCCATCAAAAGATGGTACCAGCTGAAATTTGTGTTATCCAATGAGCCTTAAAATTTTATCAAGTAATTAATTATTAAAAATTATTCTCAATTGACTCTAATACTTTTAGCAAAAAATTGAGAAAATTCCCTCACCTCAAGAGTATGCAAGAAAAAAAACTATTGTTTCACTTGCAGAGGCTCCGTCGTCGGATTATCTAAAGAAAAATAAAAATGAAACTCAAAATAAAAAAAGAAGGAAATGATGATTGTTCTTGTGCATAGAAAATTGATACTTTCAACTTTTCCTCAAAAATATTTTTTGAAACTTTTATTTTCAAGAAAAATTGATACTTTCAACTTTTCCTCAAAAATATTTTTTTGAAAACTTTAATTTCGAGAGAAATTGATACTTTCAACTTTACCTTAAAAACCGTTTTTTTAAAAATTTATTTTTAAGGAAAACTGATACTTTCAACTTTTCCTCAAAAATCTTTTTTTGAAAATTTATTTTTAAGAAAATTGATACTTTCAATTTTTCCTTAAAAATATTTTTCTTTTGAATTTTATTTAAAGGAAAAAATAAAAATGAAATTTAAACTAGTAACAAATGTTGGATGGTAAAGTTGAAAATGAAAGAGTAACAGATGAACTAAAAAGAAATGTACCAGTTTCGAATATAGAAGTTGCAGATGAACTAAATACCGAAGTAGTTGATGAAGTTGGACCAAAAAGGCTTGATGATGTTGATTGAAAAGGATTTGATGTAGTAGTCGAGGTTGTACAACCTGTACCATTAAAGGATGGCAGTTTTAGGCTAAATGGAGTGATACTTGTGCTGCTGGAAAATGGATTTGCAGACGTTTGACTAAACGTTGAAGAAGAATCAAAAGGACTAGTAGGCACGGTTGACACAGCAAAGCCAATCTCTCCAGAAGGTTGAGTATCTACCTGTGATCCACCTTTATCCTCTAATTGATAATCCTCCCATGACAGCTCCTCATGACTTTTATCTTTGTAAACAGGCATCATTGATATTGACTCCAGCTTTATAGCTGGCTGTGCACTACTCCCATTATCTACTTCGGTTGTAGGTGTGTAAGGAGCCACTCGACTTCTCCTACACTTTTTACACTTCCTGTTATTATTATTCCCAACTACCACCAACTTATCCTAAGTAGCACCACTCTCATGTGGTTATGGTGGCACAACCTTACGCCACCTTTCGTCACTGCTGCCGCAGCTAGACTCTGCATCATCTGCCAACGCGACTGCGGTGCCTTCCCCGCTCACATGGCGTTCCTCGCCAACATGAACCAGGACTTGTTCTAAATTGGTGCGTAGGGAATTGGTCGTGGCTTCATTTGTTTGTGCCAAGTCTCTCCACAGTTGGTTCTCTTCATATAGACTTTTAACCCTTTCTCGAAGGACCCAGTTTAGTTTCTCCATTCTCTACGAAAGAAATGATGGCTTGAAGTGTTGCTGAAACACCAGCTAGTTGGTGTTCATCACTACATTTGAAATCTACTAGTTTGTCAGAATTACTCAAAATAAAGAAGTGCTTCTTCCGTTTCCTTCATGATATCGAAGCATCATCCTCATCGACGTGGTGTTGCGGTGCCATGGCTGGAAAAAAAATCAAAAATATTGGGCAGACCCAAGGTCTCTATTATTTCTGATATGACGTGCCTGAACTTGGTGCCAAGGCTGGGAGAAAATCAAAAATATTGGGCAGACCCCAAAGTTTCCATTATTTCTGAGATGACGTACACGAATTTGGTGCCAAGGCTGGCCATTGACAGGTGATCCAGCCTTGTTGTACAGCCTTGCTTTCTTAACATCCTGCACTCAGGACCTTAGGGGTTAGCCGCTAATGTTTGACCAGCAAGCATTCGTGATCTCCTTCGTTGGGTAACTTTGTTTTGGCTCGAGAGGGTGACTCCAGCACCTCGGTCTAATGGGATGCCCTCAGGATTTTGATTTTACGATAGACCATGATCCTGGATGGTACTTTCAGGATTTGGGGATGATCTATTCTTAGACTGAGACAACTCTTGCACAAGATTTTTACCATAATTCTGAACAGGAGGTAATTTCTTGCAAGATGGTAATTCCATCTGGTTGACTTAAGTTATTTCTTCAAAAATCGTCAGGCCCAGGCGCCTTGTTAGGGTGAATTTTGAGTGATGCAGCATGAATCTCCTTTTCTGTGACATCATTCACGAGAGCTTCATTCATTGTGGGTGTAATACCCGAGATATACCACTCACTACTTCTGTAATATTTTATAGACTGCAGGAAGTGAAAATGATGGAAAAAAAGTCATGTATCACACCCCGAATACCCTAATTATCCTCTTTCCACGTACCACTGTCATAAAAACCAATCCCTGAATTTGATTATGCCTTCACCTCTGAGCACACAAAGCATGGGAAAGAACTTGTCTTTTTATCACCAGCTTGAAGCCGTTGAACCCGAGACTGACATCTCCAGAATTCCTCTTCCCTTTTAAGATCCTGCTTCAATGATTTTGCCTTTACATGCTCATACACGGGCTGTCTAGCTAGCTTCTCCATTTCAGCAGCTCAACCCGAGGTTCCAAGCTATGTCACATCTGTCGTTTGCTCAGAGGGCAGTCGCAGGCATGTCACGAGTGGCAAATGCGATGTCTTGTTCTTTAAGCACTTCTCGGGTCATGGAAGGGGAGATCAACCACTAAAGAGAGGCCTTGAGGGCTGGTGGAGATGGGGGCTTCCCCCTCTTTTTTTCTCCCTTATTCGGACTCTTCTTCTATTTTTCCTCTTGTTTTCTCCCCGTCCCCCTATTGCTGTGAATTGTAATGACATATAAAACCAAGTGATTGTGTTTCAGTTTGATTCCCATTAGTCATCAAATGCTAAAGATTAGCACATAATTATCTTTTCTGATCATCATCAAACTTAATCTCAATCTTTCTTTTTTTTTTTTTAAATAATCAGATAATAAAAATAAAAAAAAAAATAAACAATAAGTAGACCATAAGATAAAAATTAAAAAATGATAAATATGAAATAAAAATCTGAAATAAAAATAAAAAAAATAAAAAAAATTTACAATTGAGCTTGGATCGATTTTAATTGACAAAAGACCCCAGACAAAATGGGGTGTCTACACTTTCCAACCCAAACGTACCCCACGGTCTCTAGAATTATTCACGTTTCTGGAAGGGTTGCACCAACCTACGATGTGTCATCTCATGCCCTAAATGAGTCTAGAAGTCTATGTATGAGCCACACACTTGGTTCAATAATGATCACATCTTGTAAGAGGGCTTGTAGTATAATAGGTAGTCCTCCATTCATTCGCACTAGGTTGCTAGATGTACTCGAGTATTGTTTTAGCATAAAGTGTAGCATTTTTTTGAGCACTTTTTGCCTTCTATATCTTTTTTTCGAGGGTTATATTGATCTTTATTAAATGACACACTCACTCAATCCAATAGTAGATTGATTTAGACATACTTGCACAAGTTCTCGTCTAAATCCACACGATAATTAAGCTTAAGTTTCAAGCTAGTGACATGTGGAAGTGATACAAATCATATGAATAACTCAAATATAATTACTTCTAACATTGAAAACCCTAAAATATTCTTGATCAATCATATCACTTCTTGTTATAAGCATAATAGAAAATGAGAAACCCCTTTTAATATTTTTTATAAAGAGTTTGAAAATTGAAAAGAACCTTGTTGTTAGATTTGAAATCACCATTTGAAATTATAAAAAAAAAATCGTAAAATCCAACAATAATAAAAGTAGATGGAAATGAGAGTAAAAATTAGAATTGGCATGTATGCATAAAACCTTTGTAAAATCATAGTATTTTAATAGCAATAGAAGAACAAAAAAAAAAATAAAAGAGAAGTAACCAAAAAAAAAAAAAATCCTTAAACATGTACAAAAATATTGAATAACTATACTTTCATATCACCGGTTTTTTAACATGGCGGATATGATTGCTAGAGAAGTGGAATCATCATTCACCACCAAGATTGTAATTTTCAGAAGAGATGAGTTCATTGTAGGTTTTCAAAAGTGATTTGCAATTGATCTTTCATCAGAAACCATTTTTTCTTAGATAAACTTAATTTAATTTTGAAGCATTCATGGGAAAATATTTATACTATATATGACCAACAATAAAAGTAAGGAAATGCAAATTAGGTGCTACAAATGACAAGCAACTGGTTTTATAGGAGATTATGAAGTTACACCCACAAAATAAATTCATTCTTTTCTTTTCTTTTTCTTTTTCTAATTTTCCAGTTTCTTTCATTTTTTACAATAATTAATGATGAAAATCTAGTGTAAAATCTAGATTAAATGCAATTTACCAAAAATAGAGGTTCTTACTAGGAATTCTTGTAAACAAGATTTCTCAATCTTTCTGTTCACACTATTTCCCTAAATTTAACATATTTTTTGTCCTTGTCATAATGTCCATAACATATTTTAAATTTGTTCAAAAAGCTATCTAGTTTATTGAAATTTTATAAGGATTTAAAAAAAAATGTAGAATAGAGTCTAAAACTACTATATTTATGTTAATCTAAACAAGGTTTAATCTTTCATGATCTATGTGAGGTAAAGTTTAATTGTTCAAACATTTGCAAAATCTACCATCTCTTAAGCATGTGATCACAGTGCAAATATAAGCAAACTAATCATGATTTAAATAATTATTAGGTATATTATATATGTTATAAATGATATAATTTTGACAAATGTAGTAAATAGAGAAAATAAATAAACTTTACATAAGGTACTTCCATAAAACTTTTTTGTAAATAATAATTTTCTCACTATGATACAAATGGATTTTTCTTAGGATTAATTAAAATCTTTAGTCCTTGATAGGATACTTTAAATCTTTATTTCATAAAAGGGGTATGTTTAGTTTACATTTTTTGATACAACGTTAACATTTTTCTCTTTGTTTTTTTTTTCTTTCCACCAACGTGATGCATGGGTTTTTTACTTTATTTTTCTATCAAGGAAAATCAATAATTTGGTTTTGTTTCTCACACTACTCTTTCTAGATCTTTTAAGAGAAAGGTAGGCCTTTATTTCTTTTGGAGAAGAAGAAAGATAATATGAAAGAAAAAAAAAGAGGAATTTTTTGGAGTTCAAGCATTTGAAAGTAAGAACTCCTCAATGTTCTTTGGAATTAAAAAAAAAAGATATTAAACAAAAAAATTTGAAATTTGAGTTGTATTGGAAGAAGAAAAATGTAATTCTGCATGAGCTTCAAAATTGAAACACTTTTGTGGTGGTAAAACTCATATGGGTCTATTGGTTTTACAAACTTGTAAAGATGGATGATAAGGAGGGTTGTTCTCTTGTTGAGAATTGTCAATGATATTTTAGTAATATTCTAGATTGATAATATTATTCTAGAATATTTCGATAATATTATTCTAGAATATTTCAATATTGATTTGATATTGATTTAAAGAATATTAGATATTGATTAGGTGATTATAGGAATTGATTTAGTCATTATTTTTATTTATTGTATTTTCTAGTTTGTAATATTTTACTTTTGTATAAATAGGCTTTAAGCCTCATTATAAAACACAAGTCATTACAATAAAGTTTTCATAATTTTCTTCTTTTTCATAGTATCAAAGTGATTTCATGGTTCATTCTGAAGGTGAATTGCCTTGGAATAATCAATATGTATTTATTCTCATTGTTGGCTGATTTTCATTTCTAACTTCATTTTTGCTTCTATGTTTCAACTTTTTTCTTTTTTAGTTTTTCTTTTCATCTTCAAGATTCATATATATATATATATATATATATCAATACTTATAACTTCCCATATCTTCATTTCATTTTTTTTAAAGAGCTTAATGGCAGGTATTCAACGAAAAAATATACAACAAATTTCAATTGTTCTTAATGGAAATAACTACAATAGCTGAGCTATGGCTATGTGCAGTTATCTAAAGGGAATTAAATTATGGCTTATTGTTATTGGAGAATGCAAAGTACTAGAAAGAAAAAATTTTTGATGACAAATTTGTAGATAGGCTAAAAGAATAATAAAGTAAGAATTATCGAATTTTGACATGGTTTACTAACATCACTGTTCCTTCTATCAATGTACATTTTAGGCGATTTGAACTTGCTAAAAATGCTTGAGATTTTCTTGTCACATGGTATAGCTCTCCTATCTTTGCTCATTAATATCATATTTTGACCACATTATCTCGTTTTCATTAAGAACCAGGTTAGTTGATTGATATTTTCATTCTAAAATGTAACATTTATGGGATATGCTTAAAAATTTTGAGCTAGAATTTAATGATGAAAGTGATGCTGGTAATTGTATTACTTATCAAAATCAAATTCATCTTATACAATTTCTAATGGTACTTCAAGATGAACTTGAGAATACTATGTCTTTATTTTTGCATTGACCTCATTTACCAACTATGAATAATGCCCTTGTGAAATTGATATATGAGAAAACCTAGTTGGATATGAGTCAGAATTAGAGTATTGATACAATTGTTACTGCTACTCCTTAAAAAAAGTACTAGTTACACTTTTCATAAGTTTTGTTCATGTTATGGGAGGACTAATCATCCCATTCAAAAATGTAGAGCTAAATATCATCATAATGGTAGTCTAATTCATGATCCTCACACTGACAAGACTACTGTGGCAATAACCACTGAACTAAACACTTTTGAGTCTTCTTTTAAGAGCATTACAATCTCCACTATTGATCTTCAAACTTTGTTCA